TGATCCCAGGTTTCCGGTTAAATCTTGGTGGACAGGATGCTATTCACAGAGTTGGAGTGCATAAGAGGAGCAAGAGGGGCATGTTAGGGAAGATGTGGAAAGTGTTGAACTCTGATTTTGTAAAGTCAGCTTGAGGTACCAAAGTACATCCAATGGATGTTAATATTGAGACCTAGAGCTCAGGGAAGAGGGTGGGCTTTGGGATTCTCTATGCAGAACTGATACTTCCAGCAATGGTGGATAATAATATCAGCAGCAAGGGTGAAAAATGAAGGTGCAGGTGATTTTGAAAGGATTCAGCAGAGGAGAAAGGGCTCAGGAAGGAGAGTAGATGAGGCTGTAAGTGGGAGGCTACCCACGTCACAGAGGGCCAAAAGGGAAGAGGGGTAAAATATAGGACATAACTGTGTCAAATACTGCAGTAAAGTCAAATAGGTTAATCCCTGAACCATGTCCATGAGGATTTCATAGAACATTCTTACCCCTTTATATAATGAATGAGCAAAACATACACATATCAAGAAAAACTTACCCAATGGTGATTAATAAACAGTGAAAGGGGAGGATGTATAACTGGTTCCCATGGGCCAGATATGAGCCATAAGGGCGGGAAAACTGGCTGTCCAGATTGTCTAAAATCCTGTCCAGGAGGTTAAGATGAGGAATACCAGCCAAGAGAAGCTGTAGGAGAGCCTGCCAATGCCTAGGCGCTGCAGGAGCCATGCACAGCTAGACAAAGCAGACGTGCCTGTCATACTAAAGAACCGTGGCCAACACCCATCCAGCAGGGAGGGGAGAGTCTGTGAAGAATACATTCAAGTTCTCCACAGGAGAAAGGTCAGCCGTAAGCACCTGCCAAGCCCAGAAAGCTCCTATGCCAGTTCACAAAGTTTTCAGGTCTTTCTTTCTCGTTCCTTTGCAGCCCCTACCCAAATGGACAAGAGGTAGCTGGGTGAGCAAGGGAAGAAAATTGAAAACCTCTAGTAGCTAATAGAGAAGATACTCTTCTTTTCCATGCAGCCTTCCTTCCTGCAGTAGTACCAAGTAGGAAAGAAAAGGAAATCCAACATTCAAGGAAAGACCTTCCGATTACTGAAATAAGATTTTTTTATGTAAATAGAAGTGATTTTTTATGTAACCAGAAGTAAGAAATTATGTTATTTCTTAGCATGATTCTAAAAGTCAAGGGCATCTGCTAGAGATTTCACTCCAAGAGGAAGGGAAGAGCCAGCCCCATAGAGATGGTTTTAAGAGGCATCAAGAGAAGAAATAGAGTTGCTTTCTGACTAGCATGCAGGATCTGCTTGTTCAACAAGAATTACACAGAGAGACAGGAAAAGGCAGGGGAAAAAATCGAAATACTTTGCCAGAAAAGCAGTGAGGCGGATCCTAATGGAGTTGAAATTGCTGATTCATAGCATGTCCCTGGGCTGATACAATATGCAGACATACAGGGCTTTCGGACACACACAGAGGAACCACTGAATGGCCCAATGACTTTTTTGGCCAAAATTAAGTTACTATCTTTTATCAATAACATTGATATCAACCCTTCCTACTCAAAAGTGAAATCATCCATTAATAGTTAATACTAAAATATCTAATCTTACTGTGAACACCACTAGGAGCTTTGGCTGGAAGGCCGGGAAAAAAAAAAAAAAAAAAACGCTATGGAGAAGATGTCTGAGGAAAATATTGAGTTGGAGAAGTGGGATTATAGGGCCAACACCAGAAAATGAGAATGAGAGAATGAGACAGAAATGAAGACACAGAGAGAGAGGTTCAGCAAACCAATGAAGACACCTGGCCAGTGTTGACAACAACAATAATTAATATGAATAACAAACATTTTTGTGGGGTACTTCATACATGGCATCTCCAGTCTTTACAATTCTATGAGTCTAGTGAGGCACTATAATTGATGAGGGTGTAGGTTTTGCACTTGCAAATATGCCTGGCATGTTATGAGCGATCAACTTAAGTTATACATTATCTTAAGATGATGGTGGCATTATATCATTTTATAGATGAGGGAATTGAGACCTGGATGGTTAAGTAAATTACTAGGGGTTGTTCAGCAAGTAAAGGATGAAAGCAGGATTTTTTTTTTTTTTTTTCGAGACAGAGTCTCGCTCTGTTGCCCAGGCTGGAGTACAATGGGGCAATCTTGGCTCACTGCAACCTCCGCCTCCTGGGTTCAAGCGATTCTCTTTCCTCAGCCTCCCGTGTAGCTGGGATTACAGGCATGCACCCCCGCACCCAGCTAATTTTTGTATTTTTAGTAGAGACAGGGTTTCACCATGTTGGCCAGGCTGGTCTCAAACTCCTGACCTCGTGATCCGCCCACCTCGGACTCCCAAAGTGCTGGGATTATAGGCATGAGCCACTGTACCTAGCAAAAGCAGGATTTAAACCCAGAAATCTGACTTCAGAGTCCTCTTCTAACCCTAATCTAGGCAAGCTGGGCTTTGGCATTTATCTCTTCTTCCAGTCTCTCTCGTGGAGGCCCAGCAGCCTAAGAAGCCTGTTCTGTGTTTCGTCTCAGTAGTGCTTCCTTCCAGCCAGGGAAGGCAATCACTTAGCCACCAAACCCTAAGTGAAAGGTAAGGCTGGTAGCTGGGATACCAAATGTGACACTGCCAGGAGTGCTGACCTTTACGAAGGAGGGTTTTAAATACTAGAAAGAGAATGGGCAAATGGTGTCCTACTGAGTCCAGTGACTGGTATACTTTCATTCACTGAGAACTTGAGCAAGAAATAGGAGAGGGAAGAAAGGAGAAAGAGAAATATAACAATGGCTAGTAGAAGTCACTACATTTTTTACATTGCTGTCACAAATGACTGCCATCTCCATATCTAGATTGGTAGCCTTGGTCCAGAGCTGAACGTCAGGCGAGGCTGGGTCTCCTGAGATGGGGGTGAGAACTGCTTCTCAACCACTTTGAGGAGAGAGAGCTGATGAACAAAATTATGGAAGAACGAGGAAATTTTTATGGGAGGAGTGGGCTGCACCAGGACTATGACTCTAACATCAATTATTCCAGTGATGGGGGTTAAATCCCAACCCATTCTCCCCTTCTATTTAGGTTCATCTGAGATTTCACTGAATATGGCATTATTTATCCTTGTGAATAAACCCTATATGAGGCTTCTCCATCGTCATCTCATGATCATCTATTCAATAAACACTTGTTGAACTGAAATGAACTGAAGGCCTCAGGTCTCCCCAGTGGCCCAAGGGCCAAAGCCATATTTCCAGTAACCACCCAAGAGCCTTCATTCTAACTACACTCTTCTCAGACTTAAACCCATATTCTTTTAGCACAAATCTGTTCCCCTGTTTCCTCAGCTCTCATTAACAGTAACACTAACACCCCAAAACCTGGTGAAACATTGTCCCAAAGAATTAAAGAAACTAGCGACTAACACAAATTCTTGAGTTTACATGATGGCAGATTTTAAAAAATGAACAACTTGCTAAAATGCTGACACTGTCTCCACTTGTCAGATAACAAAATTGGCTGAAGTCTTTGGAGCCAATATGGCAGACTGGCAGACTGGAGTCTGCACAGAAAAAGCGTGCTGATGTCACGAATTTCCACCGCACGTTTCATACTGACTCTCCTCGAATTTGCACGCATGACCCATGAGGTAGCATGAAGAGATAACTTCCCAAGCCCGAGGACTTTTTCCAGACCTTCCTTTTCCTTCCACCAATCACCTACTAACCCCAGAATCTAATCCCTAAACCTTTCCCAATAAAATCGCTGCCTTAAAGCCAGCACAGGGAGACAGATTCGAGCCGGACTGTTGTCTCCTTGATGGTCGAGTTGCAGTAAAAAGCTTTTCTTTTCTCGAAAAGCTGGTGTCATCATATTGGCTTCTAGTACATTGGGAAGCAGCCCTTTTGCTCTGGAGCCATCTTCAATTCTTAATTTTCTGCAGTGAGTAAATAAGTCCCATGAATCTGCCTGTTTAATGAGGCCTTTCTCATGGGCACCCAGACCCGTGACTGCCTTCCTTCAGATGTGGAGATTTTCATAATTTCTTTAAAACAGTCTCATTCAGCTTTCACTTTACCACCCCATCTCCCAATCCATCCTAATATGTCAATACCTTAGGCACAATTGTGTCACGATTTTAATCTAAAGTCACTCGTGATTCATTCGTGATGACTGCCAGGATGAACCTCTTAAACCTGAGTTCAGGCACCCTGTGTCTAACTAAGCCTACCCACCTTTCTCACTCCAACCTCCCATTGCCACTCCTGAAACACCCCAATTCCAACCACAAAGACCCTGGTCAGGCCTTTAAAAAAGGTAAGGAAGGAATTCTGAGAGGCAAACCTTTTTGCCCTAAGGCAGGATCTGGGGCTAACCCAATTGTGTGGAGTGGTAAAAAGAGGTTTCAGAATCTCACATTAGAAAAATAAAGAAAAGAATGTTAGGTGAGGCGATGCCTCACCCTGCTTCAGCTCTCGCCAGGTATGCACATGTACCCTAGAACTTAAAGTATAATAATAAAAAATAAAAAATAAATAAAATAAATAAAATTAAACACGTATTACACAAAAAAAGAAAAAAGAAAAAAGAAAAATAAAGAAAAGAAGAATGTCGAAATGGCTGTGATCAATTCAGGGTTGTTTTCCTAGAAAGGTGGGAAAGGGGCAGGTTCAGAGGAATTAAACTTTGGGCGTGGAAGAGGAGCTAGAGACCATGTGTTAACAGTGGGCCAGCTTTCCTGCTCCTATCAACAACGAGCCTCCCATCCTCAGAGCCTGGGACCCTTCACTGCAGCCTCATTTTACCGGCCTGAATGTTGAGGGGTCTAGGGAGGGGTGGGACAGCCAAGCGGGAGATGGTTCATCATGCCTCTTTTCTGGTGTCCAGGGCTTGAGTTGTGCTGGGAGCTATGGAGTCACACAACAATCGCCCCTCGATGATGCTGCAATGACCTCATAAGTGGAGGTCCTTGCCCCTGCCCCCGACCCCAGCTTCCTCAGAGCTGGGCAGAGGAACCAGAGGGAAAATCCACCTTCCCCAGCACAGCCGTAACATCCACCTTACTCAACTGCTTGTCAAGTTCACCACCAACACAGAGGGGTAAGTTGCATTTGGACAGGTGAAAGTGGCCACTCTTTGGCCTCTTCTTACCTGGGAGTGACCTGAAGTACCCCACGCCCTGAGCAGGGTTGGGAAAGTCATGTTTGAATGAAAGTTTCCTGTTATTTTCAGTGGTAAGAATCGGTGTGTGCTTCACCTTGGAATAGGGTCTCAACAATTTTAGAGTTCAGCTTAATAATATGCCTCCCCAGGGAGCTATACTGATTTTAAAACAAAATTTAAAATGTTATTTTTATATTGCTAAAAGAAATCAAAGAAATATAACCAATTAGATCCAACTTGAAGTATTATGAGGGACTGAAAATCCCTGTCCATATCTAGGAGTTAAACTGTCCATATAGAAATGCCTAGCTCAGGGCAAAACTCAACAGGGGAGAAAAGGAATTCCCTTCGGAAAATCATATTTTGTGGCTCTGTCGTTCAGATTTTCAGATAAATTGGAATTTCATGGTTCATCTCCTGATTTCTTCCCTTACCCTATTATTTATCAGAACCTGGATGGAGGCAAAGGAGTGGGCAGTTCTAGAGTAGCCCATGGGAACCCACTCGTGGCAGGGATTAAATTGCTTTCCCTCCCATGGCCTCGAGTAAAGAAAGCAATTCTCAAGGTTTAGGGGATGTGGGTGGGACACAGGATTGAAAGCAGTATCCTAGGCCCCCAAGTCTGCTAATGTACCTCCCATCTATCTTCAGAGGAACGGGAAGTGGCCTGAGAGGAGCGAGACTTCTATTGTGCCATGAATGCCTTGAGCAATCTGGTCAAACTTAGGGACTCCTTGGAATCATGTTTCTAAATGAACTAAATACAACATTTGGGGTTACAGAGACACCAACTCTACTGAAATACAGTTTCAGTGGGGTGGGGGAGGTGGGGGGTCCAAAGCCCTAGGTTAAGAACTCCTACTAGGGTCTATGGCATAGAAGCAAGAATAAGTGAAAAGAAAGCAGAGTAAGGGTGGAGAGATTAAGAAATGCTATCTCACACTCATACAAGGCCCTAAATGAGAAGATGATCTAGAGCCTGAGCGCATCCCAGGGAAGACTTTCTTAAGTACAAGGATAAGCTGTAAGAAGCCTGTAGGAATCCTCTCCCACCTACGACCCATCTCATATTTCTTTGCAGGGCTCAGATAATCAAGAAACAATGTCGAGTGATGATAAAAGCAAATCAAATGACCCCAAGACTGAGCCCAAGAACTGCGATCCCAAGTGTGAACAAAAGTGTGAGTCCAAATGCCAGCCCAGCTGTTTAAAGAAGCTGCTGCAACGCTGCTCTGAAAAGTGCCCACGGGAAAAGTGTCCAGCACCACCCAAGTGCCCGCCCTGCCCCTCGCCGTCCCCTTCATCCTGCCCTCCCAAGCCCTGCGCCAAGCCTTGTCCTCCTAAATGCCCTTCTTCCTGCCCACCTCCCTGCCCTCCCCCAGAGTGAGGCACTGTGGGCATTACCCAACCCCACTACCACTGCCACTTCCACCATGTACAACGCTGTGGGGCTGGGGACTGAAGCCATGAACTGACAAGTAAACGTGTTCCTCTGCTGTGCAAGACTTCTCCTGGTGTTTTGGTGGGTCTCGATTTGTTTTGTTTGTTGTTTGACAGCACTAAACTACCAGCAGGCAATCCCTGAGAAGTGAGGCTAGAACCCTGCACTCTCAACCACCTCTGAGAACTGACTTTCCCTCTGACCCAACCTGCAGGTGCCCACCTCTGAAAGGTGTACCCAGGGAATGCCAGGCCCTGTTACAGCAAAGCCTGAGAGATCCATAAATATGGTTGCAGCTGTGAAAGTGTCCAACCCCGGGAAGCAGAAAGGAGAGGGTATGAGGGAGAAAGAGGAGTAGAACATTGGTGAAAGGTCCAGGAAGGCTCAGGAAAAGGCATTGTACTACGTTCCTGTTAGTCCTGTTGCATAATGTTTATGCAGAAGGGCTCCCAGTAGAGGCTGCCCGGGTTTAATGAAACTCTATCTCTGCTCCCTAACACCTTGTAACCTTAAGCAAGTTGCTTAACTTCTTTGTGTCTCAGTTTCCTTCTCTTTGCAAAAGGAATGATGATGCTAACAGTACTGCTGTTATGGAGTTGTTGTGAGGCTAAAGAATTAACAAATGCCAGGCCAGGCGCGGTAGCTCATGCTTGTAATCCTAGCACTTCGGGAGGCCAAGGCAGGTGGATCGCCTGAGGTCAGGAATTCGAGACCAGCCTGGCCAACATGGTGAAACTGCATCTCTACTAAAAATACAAAAATTAGCTGAGTTTGGAGCACGCCTGTAATCCCAGCTACTTGGGAGGCTGAAGAAGGAGAATCGCTTGAACCCAGGAGGTGGAGGTTGCAGTGAACCGAGATCTCACCACTGCACTCCAGCCTGGGTGAGGGAGTAAGACTCCACCTCAAAAAAAAAAAAAATGAGTTAACAAATGCCAAGTGCCTGGTTTACAGGGACATAGTAAGTTGGTAAAGGGAGCACCCCACACCCACACCCACCACAGTGTAACACTCATCATGCCTGAACTTAATTGCTTTGTGTAATTCTTCCTAGCCTGTAAATCTCCTGATCACAGGAGTCAGGCTTTGACATCTGTAAGCGTACAATTAGACATTCTTTAAAAAATAATCAAAAAGGAGTTATGGATTATACCACTATCTGTTACCTGGCTCTAATACTGAACTATAGTTACACAACATGTCACTATTGAAAGAATCCCAGTGAAGGGTATATGAAACCTCTATTTTTGCAACACTCTGTGAATCTATAAAATTTCAAAATAAAAACTTAGGTACAAAAAAGATATTGTACATATCTTGGACCTCAATTAGGAATGTATAGGGAAAGTATTCATAGCTGACGTGTTAGTGGAGATTATTTACAAGTAGCTAGAGAGAGTCCGTGTCAAACTAGCTTAATACACAAAACAGAATTTATCAGCTCACACTGAGAAGGGTTTGGGGACAGGGCATAGGATTAAAGGGAGAACTGTAGGAATCAAGACTTCAAGGCCTGGGATCAGGGACCCACTCCACCATCTCAGTCACTCTCATCTCGCCAGCCTCTACAATGCCTCAGAATATGTCCCATCCTCTCCTAGTGCGTCCCCCCCCCCCCCCCCCCCCCCGCCATTCAGTAAGGTCCTGAGCCAGTTTGCAGACCCAGCTTGCTGACAGATTGGGCACAAGGATATTCCTATTTTCACCAGGAGAGGAACCTGATTGCCTAGAAAGTCACGAGCATGCCCCCGTGGCCAAGCAGGTGACAGAGCTTTGACACACAGACAGACCAGTTGTGAATTGTTTCAGTGCACTGCACGTAAGCAGCGATACAGTGAACAGCATTTAAGGATTCCCTGCTATCATCGTAATAGATAACTGAAGAGCCATATCTGGGATGGCTCCCTATGGAACCATGACACACAACTAGCTCTCATCCTTCTGAGCCTGAAGGATGGTTCAGACAGCAAAGGGTATGGCAAGTATAGAGAGTCCAAAATGTGTCAAAGAAAAAATACCTAGGACCCCAACAGACTGAGGCTGTACAGTCAGCTGGTGATGGAGCAGGCTTTTGGAATACATGAAGCAGGCAGAGCATTTAGGCACCCCCTCCCCCCACCATTTTCCAGGTGTGACACGAGGAGACCTTGGGGTCTCAGGGTCTTCTGAGACACTGAGGTTCCCATACTCTAGATCCCTGCAGAGAGGCACTCACTGGATGCCAGGAGACTCTGAGGGTCTAGTTTAGAGCATTGGAGACTATGGTAACAGGTGGAAACCCCTTCAGCTGTGGTTAACAGGTGGCAAACCCTTCTACCTCACAGGAAGTCAAAAAGGAGGAGGGACAGAAGAAAGGGGGAGAGAGAGAGAGAGAGAGAGAGAGAGAGAGAATACAACAATAACATGGCATCTTCATCCATGGTCAATAGACCATCCTCTATTAAATGGTCACTTTTAAATAATAAATCCCAGAACCCAGTGCTAAAAAGCTGTCTCTTATACACATCTAGATGTGTATAAGAGACAGGTGGGACACAGGATTGAAAGCAGTATCCTAGGCCCCCAAGTCTGCTAATGTACCTCCCATCTATCTTCAGAGGAACGGGAAGTGGCCTGAGAGG